TCCTGAAGGGATCATCCGCCCTGGATTCCCTGTATTTCCAGTTCCTATCTGTACCAGTGTACATCCTCTGGTCTAGCCAGTCTTGCAAGGTAGAATTCGTATCATGATAGTGGGAGCAGGGAGGAAACATTTAGGAACTACAGGAAAGTTGTATTTTTCATTGTTGCTACATCGCACCCTGACTGGCTCGTCTCCTCCCCGAGACCCCTCTGCAAGGGGATCTCCAGTGTGTGGCCCCCTTTTTTAGATTTACTTTTACGCATGAAGATTCAGAGGTCTTGGGTTCAGTTTGACTGTTTCCCAGTGATTTCCCATGTATGTACTAGTGCTGGAGTTAGGAGATGGATTGTCATTGTGTGAAAAGGAGTAGGGGCCACATCCGACCTCCCCCAGCTTCAGCAGGGAGAAGGAGAAGCCACCTGTCCATCTGCTCAAGGCCGATTGCCACCAGGTGGAGGCCAGACATGCCTCTATCCTTTGCTCTTTAGTCTGACACAGTTGTTTATCCCCCAACACGCTACTTTTTTCTGCTGGGTTCAGGAATTCCTTGCAGGGGCCACACAGCACGCAGACAAAGCCCACAACTATGGGGATTTACTAGGGAAGTTAACAGGTTACCACAAGCCAGAACCAGTCAACAGTAAGGATAGTGTCGCTGGTTCTTAGCAGTACCTCTTCTCAGCCAGCAGCTCTCTGGCCCTTAGCCACTTGGTCCCTGGTTGCTTCCTCCATGGCCCAGGAAGCTCATCCACGGCTGCACCTCAGAGCCTCCTAGTCTCTGTGCTGCTCCTCTGTTCTATGTCAGGGCCCCTTGCCTCAGCCCCTGGTCTTAGCATGGATCCTTTGCTCTGTTCCTCTGGCCTGGCCTCTGCCCCTGAGGCAGAGATCTTGAATGTAATCCCCTGCTGGTGGCTCTTTCTTGATGGTCCTGGAAACCCTTCTCTCTGCTTCTGAGATGGAGTCTGGGGACGCAGTGGTTACGTGTTGGTCTGCGAAACCACCAGCCACTCTGCGGGAGGAAGACGGGCTACAGTCTCGGACACTCGTGGGGGCAGTTCTTGGCCTGTCCTATAGGGTGGCTGTGAATTGGTATTGACTGGATGGCACTGAGGGTTTTTGGCTTGGTTTTTCTTATGCACAGAGGCGTGACTTTGATGGAGCACCCAAAGGAACAAGGGTGGTGACTGGATTCACACCCTTCAGTCAGGTGTGCACTCAAAACACCCAGCCTTCATACGCTCGCTGCCTTAGCCTAAGAGAGAGCTCCCTCCAAGGTGGGGCTAGGATTGGTAATCTATCACAAAAGGACGTGGGTGTAGGAAAGCCCTATTGAGGAGCCCAGGGGTCAGTGATGAAGGCAGGAGGGGCAGGGGGCACTAGAATGGATGGTGATGGCACAACTCATCTTAAAGGCGACGTCACCCTGGGGAGGACGGGCAGTGCTCTAAGATTGATGTAGTGATTGTATAATTCTTGACATGAGTGAACGATCGGACTGCATGGTATGTAAATTATGTGTCAATAAAACTGTTAGGGAAAAAAA